AGCTGGGGATTGAACCCACATCCACTGAACCACTCGCAGTGAAGCGAATGAGAAACCCGCAGCCCAGCCTGCTTGGCTATCTGACCGACGTATACTATAATAATCAAAATATGCGATAATTTCAGTTGATGCTATGATTATCATCTTTAAATTTTTATCTAAAGTACCTCGTATAACACTTTAGAACGTTGAAACAAAAACAGACATTAGTAAAATAAAATTAAAACTGGCGGATGAATTGGAATGGAAATTTTTTATCTATTTTTATAATGAGTTTTACCAATATTTGTAGAATTAAATAAATTTTGCCAAAGCGATAGTCAAGTTATCACAAATTTCAACAGCGAAATGATCAAATTGTTTAAAGATACATTGCTTACTTATATGGACCCACGATATGTGAGATAAACTAATGTTGAAACAATTGATCCTTAAGATTACAAAATTAGTCAATATTATTTACATTATCTAACAATTGGGGTAACGCAAAAGAATAATGATTTAGATGATGAATTGATACTGTTTTTTTACGAAAGTTGCAGGCGTTTCTTGATTATACAGCTTGTAAGGAATTAAAAAAAAAATGATTTTGCAAATCCAGTCATGGGCAAGATACACCTTCTATATAAAAGTAGCTTAAACAGTTGCCAAAGTCTTCTACCACGAATATCAAATTACCCCGAATTAATCGTCAAGACGTACAAACGATGCAGAAGATCGATGGAAGAAACTTCAACAATATCAGGATATTCCAATATAATTCAAAAATCTGGATAAATTCTATTTTAAAGAGGATCAAATAAAAGATTCTAATTATAATACTCTATTTGCTATTATAAGTGACTTTATATTGTCTCTGTTAACTTTACAATATTCAAATGTAAGTTGTGAAAGACAATTTTTAAAAGTAAATTTATTAAAGAAGAAGTGCAGGCACCACTTGGTGCACAGATGCAACAGATACTTTATATGGCATAATGCATTCATCCCAATCCCTTAGGTGTGAGGGATTTCTTAACCTCCCATACCTAATGGAGGCTTACATCCGACGATGGATGGAATAGCTGTCGTTGATGATGATGGTGATGATAATTATTCATTTTAATCAGTTAATTTTTAAAAGGTTCTGTCAATTATACACCGTCAGAAATAATGGTTACAACTATGAATATAACTTTGTTTAATTAATAAAGAAACTAATAATAAAATGCAAGAATTTGAGTTCACGTTAACTGAATAGTGCATATTTTTTTACCTTTTTTTTAATAATATGTTTTTTTTTTCATTAATTTGTTTGATTATTTTATATTGTTTGTTTATTTGTCTTCGTTTATTTCTATTAAAAAATTAATTATATGAAGTATATTTTCTATTTTATTAATTTCTTGCTCAATAGAATATAAGTAAGTACGATAATTATTTGTACTATAACATACGAAAATTTAAATAACAACAGCATACGATTTTCTGGCTTTGATGATCTGGCAAAGTTTTTCGTACACAAACATACCTAATAAATGAATTGGTTTGGTGGCCCGACGTACTAATGTAGCTATATTGTTTTAAATATATTTTCCTCGATTTGTCTTGTTCAACACACATACCAATTTCAATTATTTCCGATACTGTATATTATGGCTAATAGTAAAATATAAAATATCGTAGTAGAAGTTATAAAAACTAGTGATAGAATGTCAGTGAAATTTGTTTGATAAAGAAGTATTAAATGTTGTTTATGCATGCTCTTCATACAAGGCTAAATGATAATGAAAGACAAGTTTTCTATGACCAGATAGGAGAGACACTGAGTTATGTTCTATAAGAGGAAAAAGTTTCATAATAATGGAAGGTGATTTTAATACCCACGGGACAATCCGCGACAGGATATAAAGCAATACATGAAAGACTAGGCTTTGGAACTAGAACTGAAGCTGTAGATGATATGCTTGAATAAACAACAGTTTAGATCTCTCGATAGTTAAAACATTCTTTCAGAAAAAAGAAACTTAACTTACTACGTACAAAAGTAGACAAAATCAGTTCCAAATAGACTGTTTCGTGAAAAGAAAAGAAGATATACAGAAATATAGGGACTGCAAAGTATAAGTTAGTGAGAGACTAAGTCAACAACATAAGTTTCTTGTGCTGAACATCAAAGTTAAAAAGCAAAACTAAACCAAAAAACCAAAGAAGATTACAACAAATCAAGTAGTGGATATTACAAGATGAGAAAGAAGGTATGTTCAGGCAATAATAGTGTAGGGTGTTTAAAATAAAACGAGCGGTTCTAATTTATGTGAATATATTTATTTATAGTTATTATATAAGTTTACAGCACGATAATATCTTATCAACTAAACTAACTACTATAAGCGCTGCTTATATTATATACAAGTTATACCTAGAATAATCTGGAATAGTCCACTATTTATTTGATTCATTTTACAGTCATTTATTCTCTTTTTAATTTCATACGGACCTTCCCATTATCTTTGCAGCTTAGAAGACAAGCCTAGATGACGTTGTGGATTATAAAGCCAAACAAGATCACTTACTTCAAAACTTTCATTCTTGCATCGAAAATCATATTGATCTTTCTTTCTGTCACTGGTTAACTGGATGTGTTGTAGGGCAAGTTCAAGAATGTTGTTGATTCTTAACTTCAGGCGGTCAACATATTCTTTGCTTGCAATATCTTCTTCGAAAGCTCTGCGGTCAAACTCTATCTCGCAGGGTAAACGAACTTTACGACCTAATATCAGACAGGTTGGAGTCTGGCATGTAGTTTTATTCACGGCCGAGCGGAATGCCATTAGGAATAAATGAATGTGCTGACTACCAACATTGTACTGTTTCAACTGGACCATTACACAGTTCACATTTTTGGCATCTTCTTCTAACATCGTCTTTACAGTTTACCCAATACAACTGTTTTCGACTCTTTTGCAGAGTTTTCGTAATAACAAAGTGTCCGCCTGATGCACCATCATGAAACTAATGCAATAGTTCTGACACTTGACTTTTAGGTAGAATCAACTGAAGCTTAGATTCTCTACCACCAGCACTCTGACTGTTTTATTATTTTCTTGCAATTTACGGTAAATATAACCTCCGTCGCCACTATTCCAACATCTGGGTTCGCGTCTCTAAGCATCATGTTACGGACTACTTTCCATACGATTTCTTACAGACGTTTATCGGTTTAAATTGATATAAGGTTGAATGCTCGAATAAGTGAGTTTTAATCAATAAAAGGCAGATATCGAGCACAGTTTAATTATTAAATCTTTCCCAAGTACTTTCGCTCCTAGAGCATCTTCAGGGGCATTTTGTCAAATGTGTATTATTCAACAATATATTGGGAATGTCATATTGAACTGACATTGTCAATTTAACATTTCCCAACCAATATGTAGCTTCTTCATTTCTAAAAATTAAAAAAAAAAATTTAAAAAAGAAAAAAAATAAAAAAAAATTAAACTGTTTGTCCTTGTGTCCTGTTATGTTAATGTATATTTTTTTAATATTTATGACATTCTCAATATATTGTTGAATAGACCAAATTTGACGAAATGCTCCTGAAGATGCTCCAGGAGCGAAAGTACTTGGGCAAGATTTAAAAAATAAACTGTGCTTGATATGTGCCTTTTATTGATTTAAGTAGTTTATCGTTATCGTTATCTTCAGCGATTCGTACTCGATAAATCCATGAAGCTTGACTAGCTGTTTCGTATTCCAAGGTAAAGGCGAGTGCTTCATCTAAAACCTTTGGTCTTGCTAGTCGTAAAGCACTCTGTAGTTCACTGTCTCTTAACCCATTGATGAAGGTATCTCTAGTCCTATACGAGCAATATCTGCTTCAAATTCTTGCAAATTCTGACATAGACATAGAAATTAAATATAAAAGAAATTCGTTATACAATTTGGAGGAATATGGCCAGTATCATTAGAGATATTGCTACTGAAATAATTGAAAAAATGCCAGAAAAACTATAAACAACATTTTCCATTGCCGTGCAAAACGTTGTTCTAAATATTGACAAACAAATAAAGCATATTGCAAAGGGGTGCCGTCCTGGAGAATAGTCAAATGGTTCGCAATATATTGTTAATCATTTTCATTATTATTAGTCAATTAAGGATTATTCATTTCTTCCTGTACTTCTCAATACATTTTGCCAAACAAATTACCAGGTAAAAAATCATTACAATTCAGTAAATCCCACCAGTTAGGTAACTGTCAAAAATACCAGCCCATACATTTAATTTTTGCGGTTTCTATTTACGCATTTCCTAGAAAATCCTTAGGTTTGAATCAGACCAATTACGGCAATTGTGACGATATTATTTACCTCAATTTTTTAACAAAATTAATAAACTTATAAATCTTATAAGTTTACATAATCATATATAACGTGTTACCGTATCCTATTAATCATTCACACTTAATTTCAGAATAATTCTTGTTTGGGTACATTTGGACATGTTAAATTATTCGTAACACTATTGTAAGCTAGGTAAGTTAAGTAATTAAAAATAAAAATAAAAAAAGGCTGAGAAACCATGAAGATGTTGCTTAATCGGTATTAATTAACATTAATTAAAAGTTCAAAATTCACATAAGTACATTGTTAACAATTTTAAAGTTAAAAATAAATTTTCAGAAGAAAATTAGTTGATGGCAGGCAGCAGATCAATATTTTCTCATTATCGTCAGTTTTGGTACATTGAGATTGCACTATATATTACTAAATTATCACAAGTGGCTTTAATACAGCTCTTAGGTATACTACCTACTTTTTAGTAGATAAGGTTGTATCATATTTATCCTTATTTTCCTCTGACCTCATCTGTAAGTGATTGAAGGCGACGTGCAAATTTACTAGTATTTTTATAATTTCATAAAGTTATGAAACAAAAATTTTTTAAGCTAATAAGAGAAATTGATAGTATAAATATAAAATAATACGTCTATATTTAATATAATCATTTCGTTTCAGCTATTTGGAAACTTTAATGCACTTGTTTAAAGGAAATGTTGGATCAGGCATATTCGCTATGGGTGACGCAATTAAGAATGCTGGTATTATATTCGGACCCATAGTTGTACTCTTTCTTGGAATTATCTGCGTTCATTGTCAACATATGTTGGTAAGTAATATACTTTCTAAATCGTCGATCAAGGTTACACTATTAAAATCACCGCACCCGCAATGTCCAACTGGGAGTCTCGTTAATTAGAAACCATTTTTTATTATATATATGTAGCTAACTTTGCATGAAACACTTGCGAAAAACAAAAGAAAAAAATATATACAAATCCCAATCTAAAATAGAAGGAAATTGCAAAAATATAAGAGTACCGGGATTTTATTAAATTTAGTCAGTATTTTACAGGACAAATTTTATGCTAAAAAAATTTATTAAGAATAGACAAAAAATGAATTGTATAATGCAAAATTCACATTCTCCACGTTTTTCCACTTTTGGAAACTGTTTGCTTAAACTATGTGGGTGTATTTAATAAAGATTGTTTTGTAAATTTAATTAACAACAAAATGTGGTTAACTGTGAGATTTGCACAAAAATCGAATTGATAATGTTAGTTATGAGGCAAAATATTTGAACCTTGCTTTATTTACATTTTAACTTTAAATTAAAAACCAGAACCAAGAAAAATAAGGTGATTTATATTGTTATGATTTTTGTGGGTTAGACATAAAAACATTAAATTAATTATTTTAGTCTAATTTTAATTTTAACAAATCGTTAAATTTATTTTACAGGGCTATGATGTTTTACTCTTTAAAACTAATTGTTATTAGTTTTGTAAATCAGACTCACTTTGTTTGTTTTAGACACTCTGTTTAGAATAACGTATTTTTAAAGATTAAAAATGTTGACTTCTTCGATGTGTTCACAAACTGACTTGGGTTCTGCTTTATCATCCGCCCCATCGATGACATTTTTATAGAAGAGTAAATCCTTGTTGTCTCTCCACTGGTCCCCATAATGCTTCTTCAACAAGTTGACGTCAACTTTCTTCACTGGTTTCGTCGAGTTTGACAAAGGAATCAAGTTTGGGTTCATGTTTAAAAGCAGTTTTCCTGACTTGATTAAAGACTTTGCCACATACATATGTGACTTGTATATATACCCACCTCTAACGAGGACATTTTTATATTTAGTTCTTGTCAGAATACTTCTGTTGCAGGTCCCCAGTTGAAAATGAAATTGTGCCGTTTTTTCATGAATACATCCTTTTCTTTCTTTCAGTCAAAGACGTCACAGTCTTGGCCAAACTTTACTACTCTCGAATGTTCGGCTATAATATCAATGTACTCTGATGATTTGTAAATCACCTCTTTTTTTTCTCATAAACATTTCTGAGACTCCAAATACTTGATCTGGTGGAAGATAGCTATGACTTGTTATGGAAGAAAAGAACTCTACCGTTTTTAAATTTTTTTTGCATTATTATAAAGCCAAAAACAAGCCATGGACACGACTATTTAATTTTTTTTCTGGTTCCCACATCCATTACTCACTAGTGGCACAGTAGTAATAGGGCTTTCAGTTTCTGTAGTTTAGATTATTAAATTAGAGAGACATTAGATTATTTTTTAAACCCGTTTTCTATCCAAATGTAGGATGTCATATTATCTCGAGTCAATTTACTTTTAGAATTAAGTTTGACCCCAGTGAAGTTGTAAAGGTAGATTTGCCTATTATAGTAAGTGGCTTGATCTGATAATTTGGGCAAGTGTAGCAATCAAAACTGAAAATCAAAATTTTTGGGTCAGTGCATTTTTGTGATTCAAAAAAGGCTTAGTGCTTAACTTATAAACACGTAGGTTTGTTTGACAATCAAAACTAAAAATCGAAATTTTTAGATCAGTGCATTTTTTTTATTAAAAAAAGCCTTAGTGCGTAGCTTATGAACACGTTTTTTAATGGTTCCTCTAATTGTAGACAAGTAGAGCAAACGTCTATCCTAGGGGATCCGAAGCCATGATTGTACTTCTTGTTGAAAATTGACCTAAAGTACCAGTGTGTTACTTTTAAATCACTCTGATCTTCTGTGAGTAAACTGATATAAATTTTTCACATTTTTCTAATATTCAACTCAACAGAAAGATATTTTCTGCCTGTGTGTTGACAAAGTAATGAGGCTCTGAACATTTGAATCTATTTATAGAATTCATTATATGCGTTTTCTTACGAAAATTTTTAGTAGAAACTCGGTCACCTCCTCTCTTTTCTCTACTAAGCTGATTAGTTTCTCTGAAATGACCGTTTACCCGAAATCGTGAAACATGGAGTACACTTACGAACGTGTTAAGGCACACAAGCACCATGGATTTATGTTTCAAACCTTTAAAATATTTGGTCCTCATAGGTTGTGTTTTGTACTGTCCAGGAATTTTTCTTCTTCTTTTATCTTGTACTGATAAGGAAAATTTTAGAATAAAATTATCTTGGTAAAACTTATCTTTTTAAGAGTAGAAGTCTTGATAGAAACGTTTTAATGTTTTAGATAGAAACGGTAGCGGATTAAAACTGTCTTCCATCAAGGTTACAAGAAGGAAAATTCGGTATACCTTTCGCAGAGTACCTACACAAGAAAAGTATTATTAACTTTTTATTCTTCCACAGCGAATGAGCTAACAATATTTTTCTTGATTCTAGATGTAGTGAAAATTACTTAAAAACAACTTTGGTAAGACTAACCTACTAATATCTTAAAATAGTAACAACTAACCTTGCTAATTTAGATTTGTTTCGTTTCCACTTCTCGGTACTTATTTTCTGTTTCCTTGTTTGATCAGTCGAGAGATCTACTGTTGACGAGCTGCTAAACCGTTGACAAAACATCACCAGGGTGACGACAATCATATGATGCGCCCTACGCACTCTGATCGAATTGGAGAATGTAAATTGTGCTGCAAATCATGTGTTGGATAATGTGATTTATGTTTCACAACTTCATTTTCAGTATAGTTTTTCAATATTAAAGGTTCAAGGAGTTTTGGTTCAAAATATTATGATATATTCGATCCGCATTTAAAAGACGAATTCATTGGTATACATAAATCCATATAATATAACCGTTCAAATAAGTTGACTGCAAACCAATATTATCATGCACAAATAGATATAAACAGCGTGTAACAAGTTTGGAATGTTTTTTTTAGACATTTATTGGAAACATTAATTTTTTGATTATAATATTGTAATAAATTAACATAAGTGTACCTACAAAGATCAGTAATTAACTAAATTGAAATAAACTAAAATTTAAAATAAAAATATTTAGTATTTTAATGTTTTTATTTCTACATTGAAAATATAAAAGTTATTTTACTATTACTATATATATTACTATATCATTTAGCGCATAGTTAAATTTTAGACGGGATGTACAGCCCTAAATTCCCGTAAACTTTTGAGTACGTTCAAATCAAATTAATTTTGTGGCATCATTAGTTTAACTCATTATTTTTAAAACTTTTTTGCCTCTTATCACTTTTTCGAAAAACTAGTTTTTTCCCAGTTGGCCATAAAATTATAATTAGTTTCTACGGATAATAATTTACAAACAGTTCCATCAATAATAGTCAGTAATTTGTTTGTTGATATTTCAATGGCCTACACATTTCAGGAAATGGCAGATATGCATTTAACTTTGGGTAATTTTAATAAGATTAAATTATGATTTTAATAAACTATCGGGAATATCGTAGGTGAATGTCAAGGAAATAGTGCAGCAGTCGCAAGGCTTTATGCAGTAAAATACCCCAATCGAAATACATCCGATAGATGATTATTTCTGACCATTGATTTTCGTTTACGGAAAACGGGTACATTCCAACCGCAAGTTGCTGGCAATAGTGGTCCAATAATGGATGCAACTAATGCAGACATTTTAGAAATCATTGAAGAAGTTGGAACAAGTACAAGGGTAATAGCTACTCAATTAAATATTCCCCACGTAAGAGTTTGGAGGCGTTTGAAGGATAAGCTGCTTAAACCCTATCACTTAACAACGGTCCGAGAGTTATTGGTTGAAGATTATCCTAAAAGGATTGGATTTTGCGATTGGTGGTTAATGGAAGACCATCGAAATGTTAATTTTATTAGAAGTATTTTATTTACCGTCGAGGCTACCTTCAGCAGAAATGGAATAACAAACCATCATGACAAGCTCATTCAGCGCTGACGAAAATCCTCACGTAAAAAAAAGACTCATCACCAAAGGACTTTCAAAGTTATTGTTTGGGCAAGAATTGTTGATAACAATCTAATAGGTCCAGTATTTCTTTCCAACAATTTAAATTGTGATAATTATTTGCAGTTCTTGGCAAACGATTTAGAAGAGTATTTGGAAGAAGTGAATATTGCAATAAGGCAAAATATGTGGTTTCTACAAGATGGCGCTCCACCGCATTACAGTAAGGTAAAGTCCGGGAATACCTTTGCAGGCAGTATCCTGGTCGGTGAATTGCACCTATTTCTTGGCCCCCCAGAAGACCAGGTCGTAACCCCATTAACTTATGCTTTTGGGGGTTTATAAAAGAGAAAGTGTATTCTGTATCAATAGAGGACGAACAACAATTGAGAGTTAGAATAATTAAAGCTGCAAATCAATTTTGTCAGAAAAATATGATTTTTCATCGCATTCGGTTTTCCTTATTATATTAATATTATTGTAATATTATATTTAAAGAGGTTATAGATATTTTTTGTACTTGTTAATACATTTAAGCCATTTATTTAGTTGCACGTAATTTATTAAATGTTAATGAAAAGGACCGTAACTCAATAAAAACTGTTTTTTGAAAAAAGTGATAAGAGGCAAATTTTTTTTAAAAATAATGTGATAAACTAATGATGCCACAAAATTTATTTGATTAAAACGTACTCAAAAGTTTGGAGGGATTTCTTCTTCTTCTTCAAGTGCCCTGTCCGTTGCGAACGTTGGCTATTAACATGGCAATTTTGATCTTGTTTGCGGCGCTTCTGAATAGTTCGACCGATGTGAGCCCGAACCACTTCCGCAGATTTTGGAGCCACGAGTGTCTTCTCCTGCCTGGCCCTCGCTTACTGTCTATTTTTCCCTGGACAATCAATTGTAGCAGACGGTACTTATC